AACTGTACCTTCTTACAAGTGTTTCCTATAAGGTCGATGATTGTTGTCCTCCCCATTGTTAATAGTGGACCATTGCTTCTATGAGTACAAATTTCCTGTTGGAGTATGTTAGCCCTGATCTAGAATACCAGGTTGAGCCTAGATATCTTACCTCGACATTGTCCTTTTCCATATTTGGTAAATTTTTTATTCATGAAGCCATTGATTCTACATCTGTTTCCCTACTGGGTTTTCCCACCCTTCAGTTGCAGTGATTTTGGAGTTCCATAGACCATTTTAAAATTCTGTGTCACTCAATGGGCGATAAAGAAAATACAATTGATGTACCTACTGTAAAATCTTTCTTGAAGGGCACAGATGTCACCCTTCTGTGTTTTTGGCCTTATGTACTTCTTGCTTACGATACTGAGGCATGATGGTTGGAGGCAGGGTTAAATGGGTGCTGACCTAATGGCTTTTGTTTTTCCAGAATTCAAATCTTCAGTAGGCTCTCCTTGTATTTTCAGTCCTGTGTTCTTCAATGAAGTCGAAGAAAAATCCTCTGGTTAATACAAAATGTGCATTTTGTTTTGTTTTGGATAGAGTGGTGAGGAGTTGGATATCCTGTCAAGTTTTACTGCTGTCTATATACCCACTGGGAACATTCACTATTGTCACTGCGTCTGAAAGTCTCTCACTTTAAGAGATCCTACGTTCTCCATTGTCATCAGAACAGAAATAGAGTGGAGATCTTCCAATCACAGTACTAGTTCTGATGGCAATTGTTTATAATTACTTAGCATTGGAGAGTTTCCCTTTCACTTCCTGTTGTGTCTACACAACATGAAGTAAGGGAAATCTTTTGAATGTGACAATGATGGTGAAAAAAATCCGACATAAGGTCTGCCATTTCCTATTCTTTCTTCTTTCTCAAATGGGAAAAATAAGTTTTGGCATGTACATTAAGCCATTTAGTACAGAGACTTTGAAATGTGTTATGTTGAACCATTAGATGTGGTACAGTAAGGTACTTCTAATGTGTATTTCTGCTTCAAGTCCCTTAATGAAATTTGTTTGGAGGTTCTTCTCAAGATTAAAGGGTTTGATATTTCATTTACTTGAGTTTCATGCCAGCTTTAAGGAGGTTGCAATCAGTTTACTTCTCATGTACCATACAGTTGTGTCCAAAATTATTCAACCCCCAATGCTGTAAAGGGGTTTAGGGACTATAGTGTCATTTGGAATTGTATTCAGAATCAAAATCCTACAAGGACGTTGTAAACTACCCAAATGCAACTAAAATGACATCAATTGTTTATGTAATACAGTAGTAAATGGTTCTTATGTGGTTTCTTCATTGCCACAATTATTCAACCCCTTAAAGACTACCACTCTGAAGAACAGAGGTTCATACAGGTGCTTTCCATCAGGTATTGAAAACACCTGTGGATGTCACCGAGCAGCAATCAGCATAATAAGCACCAATTTCTTTAAAATGACTGTGATACTCAGCTCCTTCTAGACATTTACTGGTAGATGGGTTACAAACATGGTGAAGGCAAGAGAATGGTCCAGGAAGACAAGAGAAGAGGTGATTTCTCTTCACAGGAGGGCAATGGCTATAAGAAGATTGCAAAGATGTTAAACATACCCAAGAGACACCTTAGGAAGCATCATTGCAAATTCAAGGCAAAGGGCACTGTTGAAACGCTAATGGGTTCGTGGCAGAAAGAAGATGCTGACTTCGACTGCTCTGAAGTTTTTAGCGTAGAGTGGAGAGAAGTCCCCGTGTGATGCTGAGGAACTGAGAAAAACTTTTGTCAGATGTGGGTACAGAAGTTTCAGCCCAGACAATAAGACGCACACTGCGTAATGAAGGCCTCCGTGCCAGAACTCCCAGGCGTACCCCCTTGCTGTCTCCAAAGAATAAGAAGAGTCGACTGCAGTATGCCAAAAGCCATGTGGACAAACCACAAAAGTTGTGGGATAGTGTTCTGTGGACTGATGAAACAAAATTAGAACTGTTTGGGCCCATGGATCAACGCTATGTTTGGAGGAGGAAGAACAAGGCAACTATGATGAAAAGAACACCTTGCCTACTGTGAAGCATGGTGGAGGGTCAATCATGCTTTGGGGCTATTTTTTGCTTTCTGCAGGTACAGGGAAGCTTCAGTATAAAATGAGCGTGTGCAAGGTACCATGAATTCTCTTCAGTACAGGAGATATTGGATGGCAAAAACGTGATGCCAGTCCGTCACACACTGAGGCTTGGGAGACGTTGGACCTTTCAACAGGACAATGATCCCAAGCATACCTCCAAGTCCACTAGAGCATGGTTGCAGAGGAAAGGCTGGAACATTTTGGAGTGGCCATCGCAGTCACCAGACTTAAATCCGATTTTGAGAACCTCTGGTGGGACTTAAAGAAAGCAGTTGCAGTGCGCAAGCCTAAGAATGTGACTGAACTGGAGGCCTTTGCCCATTGAAGAATGGGCGAAGATACCCGTAGATCGCTGCAAGACACTTGTGTCAAGCTATGCTTCACGTTTAAAAGCTGTTATAACTGTAAAAGGATGCTGTACTAAGTACTAAGATTGAATGTCACTTGGGGGTTGAATAAAACTGATTTTTAATGCTGTGATGAGCACAGAAAAGACATTTGTGGTTATTTCATTATAACTGTTATGTTATGTTATATATTTGTGCCTGACCTACAAAGTGCCTCTTTAATGTAAATGTAAGCAAGATGACTGAATGATCAAAAGCAATGTCAAACTGGCAAAACACTCAATTTCAGTGGGGGTTGAATAATTTTTTGGAACACAAACTGTATGTTCCTGCTCCACCTCTTCATGCATTACAACAAAAGTAATGTTGCTGGCAGCTTTGCCTAGATGTGGACTTTTGTGGAAATGAACAGGTTGGTTCAGACTCTTTCCTGGGGGGGGGGGGGGGGGTTAAAAGATACACTACATAAGCAACAAATCCTTGATTACATGACAACAAACTTGCCTTTGTTTTGTGACCCAAGATGAAGAAATCTCTTAGTAATGGTATATAAGAGTGACATATGATGACATATGTTTGGAGATATAACACCAGATGGCCCTTTTTACCTTGTGTAAACTAGCTTTGTAGAAATTGGCAACACCATTGTTTTTTTTGTAATTCATTATATATTGTTCATACCAAATTTTTGCACAACAATATTTATTTGTAACAAAATATATAGAAAAGTTGTAACAAAAATACATAAAAAAATATTATAGGGTTACACAGTGTGACACAGATTTATGTACAAAAGAAATGAAACTCTTCTAATCCCTAACATTTTGATCTAATATATGTACTTGATCATTCTGCTTTATAAAACCAATGCCTTTGGTCTAAGGTTCTTTTAATTGTTGCATTCTATTTTTAAAACACTATGGGGTTGATTATACTAAAGCTGGAGAGTGCAAAATCTGGTACTGCTGTGCATGGCAGCCAATCAGCTTCTAACTCAAGCTTGTTGAATTAGCTTTGACAGAAAACTGGAAGCGGATTAATTTCTATTTAGAGCTGCACCAAATTGTGCATGCTCCAGTGTTAGTAAATCCACCTCTATATGTACTTTAGGTTGTGACTCTTCTGCTATATGAATGATTGAGATTTCACTTTCCCTCCCTGGTTGCATTTTGTTTTTTACTATGATGGTTTGGATTACAATAACAAAAAAGTGAGTATACCAATATATGGGACTGATGGCAGCAACATCCCAGTACATGTGGGAAACCTTCACATGTAACACTCTACCCTAACCTACTGACACACTGCAGACCCCTCAGACTATTTGAATTAACACTGATCATACCTCAGTGTAACTGCTGTCTAAGTGCCTTAGTTTCTTTAGGGATACTTCTTTTGTCCCTTCTAACCTATTCATTGATGGGCACTGCTGTTGTTTTGTTAGATACTACACATACTACATTGTGTATGAGATACTTGCTAGGGATGGAACCTCTGTATATACAGTATCAATGTACAAATGCAGTCTCCTATTGAATTGAAATGTCACAGACTGTTCTATCTGATGTCGTGTACTGTACATCATTTTGTTCCTATATCTCAATAAAGCATGTATTTTTCGACACAAAAAAAGGTGTATTTTTTCACACAAGTTGGTTTGCTCAGTTGTGAATTTGTGCACCATGGCCCCCTCCCATTTAAAGATGACCTGAACTCAAACAGTGCAGGTTTGCTATTTGGGAATATCTACAAATAGTAATTGTGCCAAAGCAAAAATAACAATCTCTCTGTTTCTTCATTCATTCTTTGTTTCTTTGTTCCCGACACTTCTGCTGCTTCTTGGATATCTTCAATCAGTAACTAGATATCTGGCCATCAAGATAGCAGTTCTGATATGAAGAAACAGAGTCTTGCTTTCACCAAGATGGTTTTACCAAGACACAAAATGCAGAACAAGGCATGGAAAATCAATACTGGGGAAAAAAAGCAGCTGCAGGGAAGACCACAGGCAATACTGGTGACTAGTCTTTTGCCTTCTGCTTGCTTTTTTTTTGGCACGTCTTCCAGAGTTCAGGACCTCTTTAAGATCAGCAGAAATGCACAACTTAGGGATAAATTCTTTTTTGAAAAAAAAAAAAAAAAAAAACAGCCGACAAGCAAATGTGTAAATTAAGCCTTTCCAGTTATTGTATTTGTAGAGACGGAATAAAAAACTCTTGTAGCCACATTACAGCAGCAGATGTGCAGTTACCCACATCAGTCTGTCAGCAGTTAGCGTCTCCTAATGTAAAACATGTTAGTCAATGAAATGGTTTATTTGTTGCTATAGTAGTTATGATATATATATTTTTTTTACTGTTGATGTTTTTGGGCTGATTACTGCACTGAATATTTCACAATAATTGTGCAGCTTTATTGTTTGTGTGGATGATTAGCATTGTATCCACCAAAAGTTTGAGATTGCCTTTTTTCATCAAGTTCCAAAAAATCTTCAGGCAGCAAGAGAGCATTGCTTTAGTACAGTTCTGCAGGATTTTTATTTTCCAATTTAGCTTTATTAATCTTTTCTTCTGAATAACGCCTCCTTCGGTTTTCTTCTGTGCATTCTCGTTGACAAAGTCCTTCATCACTACTGGCTTGCAAGCTATCAAAGGTACTCTCCTTGGCATTATCTTTCTTCAGATTTTTCTGGGCCTTATGCTTCTGACGACAAAGCCCCAAGCATTTTTCAACACAGTTAAACCTTGTCTCGGTTGTGCAGGCGTACATGCCAGCAGGCACTGCAAGAACCATGGCGCACACAATGACAATTATGTGGATGAGTTTTTCTCTTTGTTCTAACTCACTGATGTCGCTACCTGTCATAAAGACAATGCATTGTTCCTTCCGGGGAAGTTGACTCTTTAGTGTAATACACACCTCATATTTGGTTGTTGGAAGCAAATCATTAACGGAATAAGTATATATTCCAGGGCCAATATTAATTACTTCCTTCTCCTTGTTGTCATATTTTCCAAAATAAATAGTATACCATGTTTCACTTGGATTTTCTGTTGCTGCAAACCATTCCAAGGAGATGCCATAAACAGTTTGTTTGGATATTCTCACATCTATGTAGACATTTTCGTCTGATGATGAGGATGGAGAATATGAAGTATATATGGAGAGATCCCCTGAGCTTCGGGATTCAACATTTAAATGAACCAACGAAGATGAGTTGCCCAAGAAGTTTGTTGCAATGCAGTTGTATATTCCAGCATCTGCAAGATGTACCACTGGAATAAATAATTCAGATTTCATATTCTCTTCATCAATCAAAACCGTAGATACTGTAGAATCAAAAGAAAAAAATTAGACAAAATATCTGAAATCACATGCATTAATGGGATGTATAGACAGAGCAGAAGTGATTGCAATTTGAGGCTTGGTTATTTAAATTTTTGCCATTGTTTGGTGCATAAAATCAGTCACGGAAGATTTTTCTTAATAACATATAAAAACCACTATAAAGCAAAAACAATAGTATATAATTACATAGGAAAGGTTGGTGAAATCATAGGTCTTTGGATGTACATTGACTTGCATAACATAACCTATACTAACCTCACCCCATGTCATCAATAATACCATATCCCTCAAGAACAATTCAAACCTGAGCATTTCTGGTGTTCCCAGGGTACAAAGAAGAAAGACTAACAAATGACACAATGGAATCACCATACCATCAGATGGCCTCATGACTCACTGAGCAACCCAGCTGAAATCCAAAGACCCACTAATCTGCCAAGCTGCTATGACACACGACACTCACCCACCCCTGGACTTTTACAATTAAATGGGGCTGACAGGAAATGCCTGGTTGACCCACCCACAGATCTTATCACTGTAGATCCTTCTCATCTGGCAGCCAACCCCCAAATGGGTAGAGGCTTAGCCACTTACACTATTTCACTGTCACAAGTTAGCCTGCAGCTTCTTGTGTGTTTATTCTTACCTCCTTGCTGCTCTTGATTTCTCACATGTGTTTGACTGTGCTCACCTGTGGGCATCATCTGCTATTCCCCAGGTTTTATGTCCTTCACTTTCATCACTTCCTGGGCCGCCTCCTAGTTGGCTTGTCTATTTAAGACATGCTCAGTCTGCCCACTTTGCCTGAGCAACGTGTTGTTGTCGGAGCTTCCTTGTGTTTCTACTGAGAATCCTTTATAGTTTATCTGTGTACAGACCCCGGCTTCGTTCCTGACATTGCTCCTATATAGTCTGTGTACAGACCCCGGCTTCGTTCCTGACATTGCTCCTATATAGTCTGTGTACCGACCCCGGCTTCGCTCCTGACATTACTAGTTTTCCGCTTGTCCTGACCTCGGCTTGCCTACTGGATTTCCTGTGTCTACTCCCGTTGTACCCTGCTCCCAACAGCGGTCTCCTCTACCTCAACTGGGTGTAAATGGTGGCTGCGAACTGGTCCCAGCCTGCTGCAAGTCCATCCCCACCATCAGGGGCCCTGGTGAACAAGCAGGTTGGGGCTTAGACTCCACACCCTGGGGAATCCCAAGTGGTGGATCAAAGAGCTCACTACCACAGGTGCTGACATCCACTTTATGGAGAAACACTTTTGACCAGTTACTTTCACTAGCCATGAAACCCTCTATCTAACTGTTTATAACTCAGACATGTAATTATGGATTTCATTATAAATATTTGATAAGAAATTATTAAAGGATGACAGTGTGGGGAAAAAAAGGAAAACATTTGTCATCCCATAACAGAAAGTGCTTGAACAAGGACCATTCTGACAGAATCACAGCTATTCTTTTAATAAAAGCTGCAGATTTAAAAGATTGAAAACAATTTTTATATTATACTCATATATTAGGTTTTTATAAATATATCGTTAATATATTAAGTAAACATTATGAAAACAAATAATTGCTACTGTATAAAGTAATTATAAATCTTTAAACCTTTAAGACCCTCTTATGTATTTGGACTGAACTATTAAACTTACCATTATGGGATTTAATAGATTTTAATCCATGAGTCCAGTGTATGGAAGGTGTAGGGCTTGCTGTTATCATACATACCAATGTTACATTGAGGCCCACCTGGATTGTAGCATTATACACAAGTGTGTAAGTGGTTGGTTTCATGCAATCATTTAGCTCCAGCTCATGAAAGTACTTCCCAATGCGAAAATCTGGGCTTGCACATGTCAGATAGGAATTCATTAATATAATAGGTGAACTGACTGTCTTTACAAAGTGGACAAAACCTTTGAGGCGGCAGTCGCATATCCAGGGGTTGTCATTTAATGCCAACACTGCATTGGATGCTACTCCTGTTCTTCCATCTGATGCTTGTGCTCTTTGGTAAAGGGGCCATGTTGTAAATACATCTTTAGAGATAATGGTAAGCTGATTGAAGGATAAGTCTAAGTAGGTCAAGTTGGGAAGAAACTTCATTGCATGATTTGGAAGAACATCTAATCTGTTGTGTTTTAGGTCCAATATTCTTATATCTGGGGTGTCTTGAAAAGCTGTCCATGGTACTGATCTCAGTTTGTTTCCTTGTAGCCTTAGTTCCTTTAGATGCTTCAGGTTCTCCAGGCTTTTCAGATGCATTAGTGTGATGTTGTTAAAATTAAGCCATAGGTATTCCAAAGAGTGAACACCACTAAATGATCCCCGAGACAGTTCAGTCAAGTGGCTTTTTTCTATTCTAACTTTTCGAATGTCTGAGGGAATGTCATCTGGTATTCTCCTGAGTGATGAGGACATGCAAAGGAGACTCCTTAAAATGAAAAAAAAAAAAAAAGATCACATTACTTTTTAGAACACTTAAATGCAAGTCACAATTTAAAAAGTGAACCTCGGAGATCTGCTCTGGGTTGGGCATTGTTTTTTTTTTTTTTTTTTTATCGAACGATCCCAGTGCTTCCCCAGGAGAATACATGTGCTGGCCATAGAGAACAGACCAAACTGATGAATGTGGTAGGTTACAGGTGTGAGTTTAGCCCAATAATATCTTGGTACTGCACAGTAGGGTCTTTTGCACAATGTCTCCAGGAAGCAATAGTTATAACCTAATGAAAATAATACATAGCCAATATTGTGTTCATGTTTATTTGGTATAATATAGGGTTTTGAAGGTATTCTTGTGCATTTGTGGAGCTGTTCAATCTGTTTACTGTGTTAAGCCACAGCTAGACGTGGTATGGTTTTGTGCCTGTGAGTGATGGATAAAAGCTGCGTCAATCCTAAATAAATAATACATGTCTGAAGTGTACTGTACATAAACCAAAGATTCCATCCACTTCCATTAGATGTGCGGTTGGGGGGGGGGCAACAAAAATGTGCGGTTGTGCCTCATTTTTGAAGCCTGCAAACTGCCCCCCTTAAGTTGCAAAAAGGAGTGGACAGGGGGTGTTTACATACCGTAGTTGCAATACTGCCATAGTTTACCCAACATGTAGCAATTGGTGGGTGGTAAGCCCACTGAATACTACACACTCAAGCAAATGGGGAAGCCCTGCAAACACACATGGTTGTGGTGCATTTGTAAGCAACAATGGGGATAAAACAGGCAGTAAGGAGGCATCGCATCACTTCCTCACCGTCTGTCAGGAATCTGTGAAGGACTATCAGGCTTCAGAGGTAAGGTAGATTTAGACGCACATCTAAGTCTACCCTTAATCCCACAAAGTCTATCTGTTGGTCCCAAACACACCCTGGAAGACACAACTGTTGGTCATTGGTATCCAATATGAAAGATTTTGCTTTTAGTTCTACTTTGAAGCTGAATTCCAGGCACACTGATAAATAGGTGAAATACACTATATTGCGAAAAATATTGAGACACCCCTCCAAATCATTGAATTCAGCTGTTCCAATCACCTCCATGGCCACAGGTGTATAAAATCAAGCACCTAGGCATGCAGACTGTGTATACAAACATTTGTGAAAGAATAGGTCACTCTCAGGAGCTCAGTGAATTCAAGCGTGGTACCATAATAGGTTGCCATCTGTGCAAAAAGTACATACATGAAATTTCCATGCTACTAAATATTCCATGGTCAATTGTTAGTGGTATTATAACAAAGTGGAAGCAACTGAGAACAACAGAAACTTGGCCACGAAGTGGTAGGTCAAGTAAAATGACTGGGGTCAGCACATGCTGAAGCGCACAGTGAGCAGAAGTCGACAACTGTCTGCAGTGTCAGTAGCTAAAGACCTCCAAACTTCGTGTGGCCTTCAGAGTAGTGCAGCAACAGTGCATAGTAAGCTTCATGGAATAGGTTTCCATGGCTGAGCAGCTGCATCCAAGCCTTGCATCACCAAGTGCAATGCAAAGAGTCTGATGCAGTGCTCTAAAGCATGCCGCCACTGGACTTTGGAGCAGTGTTCTCTGGAGTGACGAATCAAGCTGTCTGGCAATCCGATTGACATGTCTGGGTTTGGCAGTTTCCAGGAGAATAGTACTTCCCTGACTGCATTGTGCCAAGTGTAAAGCTTAGTGGAGGGGGGATTATGGTGTGGGGTTGTTTTTCAGGAGTTGGGCTTGGTCCCTTAGTTCCAGTGAAGGGAACTCTTAAGGCATCAGCATACCAAGACATTTTGGATAATTTCATGCTCCCAACTTTGTGGTCACAGCTTGGGGACGACCCCTTCCTGTTCCAGCATGACTGTACACCAATGCACATAGCAAGGTCCATAAAGACATGGATGATCGAGTTTAGGGTGGAGGAACTTGACTGGCCTGCACAGAGTCCTGATCTAACCCCACTTTTGGGATGAATTAGAATGGAGACTGCTAGCCAGGCCTTCTCATCCGACATCAATGCCTGACCTCACAAATGTACTTCTGTAAGAATGGTCAAACATTCCCATAGACACTCCTGAACCTTGTGGACAGCATTCCCAGAAGAGCTGAAGCTGTTCTAGCTGCAAAGGTGGGCTAACTCAATATTTAACACTACAGACTAAGACCAGGATGCCATTAAAGTTCATGTGTATGTAAAGGCAGGTGACCCAATATTTTTGGCAATAGAGTGCATATGTATGGGGACTGTTCTTCTGTTTTCTTTATTTCTGTCCTTCCAGTCCTGAGATTTATACATTACAGTCTTGTCTGGTTGGGAAGCAGACATGGGGGTTGATTTACTAAAACTGGAGAGTACAAAATCTGGTGCAGCTGCACATGGTAGCCAATCCGCTTCTACTTTCAGCTTGTTCAAATAAGCTTTGACAAAACCTGAAATCTGGTTGGTTTCTATGCAGAGCTGCACCAGATTTTGCACTCTCCTGTTTTATTGAATCAACCCCACAATCTTTCTCTATTTCATTCTTAGTTTAGCATATGTGCCTGTTCCCCACCCTCATCCTGTGATTGGCTAGGGAAAAGAGAAGCACTACCTTGATGAGCCGTAGATCATCTGATTAACGTCCTGAGCTGCATCTCCCCCCAATCTGAGCTCTGCTGTACAAGGATTGGAAAAGGCTAATACCAAGTCAAATTCAGGCACTTATGCTGCTTTTAATAAATGCCACATGTAGCTCTTTGGTGCTTATGCAGCCTTCGGACCCAAGCAGCCAATAGTAGGAACTTTCATTTGTAATGACCGTGATCTCTAGTAGACTCATGTAACATTTTCCACTTTAAACACAGTGTCCTGAAGCATTATTTTAGTCTTCAATCCCACCTGTAGCATGTGCCCCGACTTTGGTTATCTCCAGCACAATCATGAATCTCTTACACTCTTTTGTAGCATTACATATATTGATTATATACAGCTCCCTGGGGATATCAGGGGCCCTGTTTGGGGACCCCTATATCTGCTAAGTTTACCACCACTGTTAGTGAGGTGTAAGTGAATGGTGCGCATAAGGGTTTTCACGCTGCAGTTATTATGACTCGAATTTTTTTACAGCTATTTGCATAATTATACCAAATGATTGAATAAAGGAAATTAGACTGCTTAATTATATGCTAGCATGGGGGTCGTATTGTTTGATGTTTATTTCAGTCATATTTGGAAATTCTTGAGAAATGCCTGTACTATGAGATAAGGTTCTAAAATATGTTTCAGTAATACAACTAAAAGTTGACAGAGGAAAGCAGTTTAGAATAAGGCACAATCAGTGAGCATGATATATAAGATTGTCAAAATATTTTGTTAACTTGTGCTATAGGAATACATACAGTATATAACATTTGCCTATTTATACCAAACAAAAATAGTGCAAGCTAACTTGATTTGGTACATTCCTAACTATTTACAATTTGCACAGGACAAGGTATGGTTAAAACAGCTAGGCGGGTCAATCCTGCCTACATGGAGGGCTAGTGTAAGAGAGAACTTATTTCACAATATCAAGATAAGATGCCTAGAACTGACACTAGTCTTAGAATTTCTAGCAGGGTAACCATTTATACACTGCTTTCTGTGCTCTCATTGTCATTGGTAACATACCATGAAACTATTATTTGTTATTGGTGTTGGAACCTTCCTCGCTATCAGAGACCGACAGTTGAAAACACCTCCTCCACATTGAGAAATTTAGCATGCCTTTTTAACATTAAAAAACCTCCCAGAATACACCAGATTAAAAATATCTTGTTAACTAACAGCTGGTCACACCATCCTTATAATTAATTTGCTGTAACCTAGAAAATTAAATGTATTAATCTACATATTCTAATCATAGCGTAGCTAGATTGGCAATAGTAGGTGGAATTGTGCATACAGGAAAAAAACAAAGTAATTTATTTTAAATTAGATTAAGTAAAACTGTGAGTGTATTATTATGATGTAACTGCAGCTTAATAAACGCACAAAAAATAAAACCACACTAGCAATAACTGTATATAATTTACAATGTATTATTCTTACACACTTGTAGCTGAAGATACTTTAAAAGACATAGAGGTAAAGTGATAGCTATAGGTACGAAGATGGCAGATAAACCTTTTATGGATCTTGGTGATCACATATTTAGGGACCACAATGAAGGTGCAGTCTGTGGCTTGTGGCTGTCAGAAAATGTGGTCATAGACTTAGCAGTATGCAGAAGGACATATTGTCTGTTGCAATTATTTAATATTTGCATGATATGAGTAACTCTACCTTTAACTGTAAACCTTCAGATTGCAGTCATGTTAGAGTTTATTTTTTAATGGTATACTATTGGTAGAAACAGACATATTGTGATGTTTTTATGTGTTTATAGTCTGAGGAAATCATTTGGTGGTTTTGGCAGCTTTAGGGGACTTTAACTTCAATTTTCTAATAATGCATGAATATCTTGTCACAAAGCACAAGTCAGAGTTATTGTGTCTGAGACTCGCTGGTCTATTGAAAAAGTGTATGCAGAAAACTTTGGATATTTAGAATATAATTTATATTTAGAATATACTTTTATTTTTGTCTGTGACAGACATGGTAAAGAAAACATTGAGTGGTAAATGTATAAATCATCTACAGACAACTTAGAGAGAGTAGACAATATATAGCTGGTTCTTAGCTGTATCCCATATTGAATTATTTGTGTATGTGGCTTTTATTTATTGAGGAGATTTAGGTGTCTAAAATATTGCATATACCATCTTCAAAATACCTCAACATTTACTTTACATACTATATACTTTTTATCATCAACTAAATTTTACATGCAGCGAATTTACAGTAAGATATACATGTTCCTTCCAATATTAAGACCTAGATTAAGAAGCAAAAACTGTGAGTGTATGATAATGATGTAACTCCAGGTTAATAAACGCA